TTTCCCATTTCTGAAACAAACAGCTCGAAGAAGAACACACACCTCCGTGAAATATATCTCACAAGGTTGGACAATTAAGAGATATTCAATTGCATAAACACAAACACCATTATTCGAGAGGAAACAGTACCACTTTATTGAGCGGGGTCCAAAATCGACATAAATCAACAATTTGCAGCTGGTGTGCCTAGTATATAATATTCATCAAAGTTATACAAAGTAGAACAGAATGTAACAAAAATACCGTTAACAATTTAATCACTGCTGATTTAGCTAATGAAGAGGAAACAATTAACATCCTTCCAACAGAACCGAACACGAAAAACGATAGCAACAAGTGCAACAAATAACATCACTCGCTATCCGAGAACTTTATGGAATTCACGGCCGTGCTGATTGGTCCTCCACCATAACTTCCCTAGAGAACAAATGAAGTTAGAACATGGCCAAATCACCTAACAAAATATACAATCGAAGTTTGAAACTAAGTTTTTAAATAGTAGCCTTAAACCTTCTTCTTTTTCGTTTTCTCATGCCGGAATCCCTTTCCTTGCACTTTGCTCAACGCTTCGTGTGCTTTAGCTCCCCACTGATCATGTGACTGAAACAGTTGCATTGGTAATAATAAGAAAAAAAGGACAGCCATATTAACACATTGAACGGTGCCTGCGGCTGCGTTCATACTTTGCAGCAGCGTCCACCAGCGATCACCAGCGTTTCGAGCGTTCGTCAGTACCAGCGATAGGAAAGTATGGGATATCGATCTAGCGAACGCCAGCGTCCATCAACGTCTACCGGCTCCCTCCCGCGTCCAGTACTGGAGAGTATGGGAAAGTGGGCGAGAGCAGACAGCTTGATTAGGCATCGTGAAATTGCGGTTTGTGCAAACGCATCGTGAACTGCCAAGCACAGAATCATGCAATTAAATGTTCAGTATTGGGTAGTTCTACGGTACGATTAGTAGGGTTAGGTACGATTGCACATGTCGCAATGTCACGACGAAATCCCTCTCCTACTTCTCCATATTCTTCACTCCTGAACGCTGATGGTCGCTGGTGAGGACTGCTGCGAAGCGGGTGAACAACTTATTTTGAGCCATAAAAATGTAAGATCAGTTTACCAGAATCTACCCAATCCGTTGATATGGGAATATCTAGAGACAATCAATCTCGAAAAGATGCATCTAAGGCAGCGGCGTTCAAAGTGTCTGAGTCAAATTGTGGAAACGCCAAGTAGATCTCGTACCTTATTGTAAGAGTTATCCTTAAATTTATCCGGTAAGGAATCCTTCGTTATTGTCACACGACGGAATGGTTCGTTGGATTTCCTCTTAACACACAACAGTTCAGGTCATTAAACATGTAAGGAAGAGAATTGAATGGAAAATAAATAATAATTGACTCTCATGAGCGACTGACAAACTCGAACTAAATCAGGTTCCCAAGAGTCGAGGAAAGCCCTCTCAGATTGAAACAACCTAGTAAGGTTATACTCCGTCTGCACATGCAAAGTACTTTTGTCCCGCCTTCAGGGTTTCCACCCAGTCTGCCCGGACATTCCGTGTCCGCGCAGACCGGGTGTAAACAACGGTTGTGCCTCCATGGTTACAGCGCCCCTACTTTCAAGGCAGTAGAGAGGAAAAGAGCACCAACAAGTCCGTTTCCTCCCGAGCGATTCACCGCGGAATGCGTCTTAAATGTCTTTAACAAATCGAAGTTGCAGAGAGCCGGATTCATCAAAGAGTCTCGCTCAATGAAAGCGCTACTCTGAATATTTTCGCCGCCAACATATGCGACGTTCAGGGTTCGTAGTTCTGCGCTGTATTCGACAATCCAAAAACACAACTCACTGGGAATGTTTTTTGTCCGCCACTTGGTTTTTCAGAATTCTCATCACCAGGCGTCGCAAATTCCTAAAAATGGTAAAAATTTCAACAGCTCGGGCAACCTCGTGGCTGAATTATTGACAGGAATGATGTAGTAAACAACGAACTAACTCAACATTATTAGATAACTCCGATATCGTACTACGATGGACAAGGTCCGTAGGACCCTTTTAATCTAGCAATGGGCTAAACTGGGTCCGTGAAACAGAGCGCCCCATCGAAAACGATTTGATCGGTGCGCACTAGAAAATTTTTCAGAGAGACGAGCGCGGCTGAATACAGATAGCACCCAACACGACCAAAAAGGTGCCGTAACCTGTTGCGAGTGCCGTATGAACTCCAGAAAGTAACATACACCGAATTTGAGAGAGCAGGCAGTGATGTATTGCGTGGCTGGGAACCTACAGCTGGAAGAGAATCACTGTCTTAGAGACGCAGTTTTATTGCTTTGTGGTTAGACCGCATTCAGCGATCTGATCGCGCGATCCAATCGAGCGGTCCGATTGCGCGATTACATCCTGGTATCGAGCCGCTCGATTGGATCACGATTGAATCGCTCGAGTGGTCCGATCGCGAAGTCTGAAAGCGGTAAGCGGTCTTATCACCGTTTGTCGTAGTATACCAATCAGTATAGTATACCAATCATGTGGAGGACGACACACAGCTCCAAAATGAACTAACCTTAGATTGAGCATCATTAGAGCTGAAAGTCGATGGAGTCTTGTTCCCGCTCTGTTTTGAGATTGATTTTGCAGGCGTTTTCTAGAAAAAAGCACTAATCAATAGAAAAAAAGCTACACTTTGCAACGTCTTTAATGCAACAGCGATCGAAAGTGCTAAATTGAAGCTCCTTAGCTCGCAACAACTGCCAATGTAATCATATTCGCAAGTTCTTTCGAAGTTGGCTCAAACTTATGGAATGAATTAGTCGTCATCCTCGATGTTTCTCATTAACCTTGCCTGTTTTAGAAAATATACGTAAAAGAATCGTGAGTGACCTATCCTGACTGCGGCACGGCTCTGCGATTTTCCGGATCTACGGATGAGCGGCACTATTCAAGTACTAGGGTTTCCTGGGGTGGGAAATATATCCGGCATTGTAGTGATCGAAAAAATCTGTTCTGCATGCGATTGTATTAACAGTTGTAGCCTTTAACACATAGCAGAGAGCCGGGCGATAGTGCGCCGCTAAAGCTACTGGAGCAACTGAATCGCGTCGTTTCACACAAAGACACAGCTTCACCCTTTCGAGTAGACAGAAGATACCCTATACTAACTGAAATACTGGAACGCACGAGACCTCTCTGGTCTGGTGAAAACATCATATTTAACCACATTTCCGTGAAAGTCGGTTTTCCACTCACGAGGGTTCAGATCACATAAGTGAAAAAACCTAGTGCATGATTAGTTATGAACTGCTTGGAGATATTACTACCTGCTTTTTATTGTGGCTCATATGTGCGGCACCAAGAAGGGTGAAGCTTTCACCCTTGAACAATTCTTCTTTGGAATGCACCACGTTTCCAACTTCGTTTTGGCACCGTAACGGCATTTTGAATGCATCCTACGAAGATACGGCCTATGTACACAACGAATTGTGAGGGTTAACCGATGTATAAGACAGTGTTTCCCCTTCCTTCCAGAAACATGGTACCAATTTACCTCAGTCAAGTTACCTCGTCCCAGGAGCGTAAAAGGCTTGACAGGTTTAAGAGAGAACCGGTCGAGAATTCGACTGTACTGCCACTACATTATCACTACCACTAGTGGCGACACATACGAATCATCTATCTACTACATATATTAGGTTGTCCGGAAAGTTCTCAGCGTTTTGTGCACCTATTTTTTGTACATTCACTGCTGATTAAAAACTCATTCTGCCTTGCTCAGTAGCACATCCTGTAGAGAATTTCTTGCGCTATCTGATGGTATAATTGCCGTTTCACCATTGCTTGATAAACCCCCTTTTTTCAAGATTTTTTCAAGCATGTGAAAAGAGCACTTCGGACGATTTTTTTCTTCGACTATAAATTGGGGCAATCCGCAATCGAAACAGCTCAACAAATTAACCAGGTGTGGGGGCCCAATAGTGCTAGAGAAAGCACTGTGCGGCAATGGCTCAACAAATTTCGTTCTGGAGATTTCAGCCTTGAAGATGAACCTCATAGCGGTCGACCTAAAGCAATATCTGACGAGGATTTTAGGGGGATTTTGGAGGCTGACCCATCCCAAACAGTTCGAGAGATAGCAGAAGAGCTAGGCCTTGGCAAATCCACTGTTGCAGATGGTCTGGAACGCATTGGGAAGGTGAAAAAACTCGACAATTGGGTGCCCCACAATCGGAGTGACCGGCAGGAATCGGCACGTCTCGAGGTTCCTTCTGCATTGCTTTTGCGCAGCAGAAACGACCTGTTTTTGGGCCGAATTGTCACCTGTGATGAAAAATGGGTCATGTATGATAACAGGAGACGTTCCGGACAGTGGTTGGATTTCGACGAACCACCGAGGTAATTTTCAAAGCCGAACCCTCACGAAAAAAAGATTCTGGTCACGGCTTGGTGGTCATCGGCTGGTGTGATCCACTATAACTTTTTATCACCAGGCCAAACCATCACAGCAGAACCCTACTGTGAAGAAATCGACGAATTGTACCGAAAATTTTGTCAGATGCAGCCAACACTTATCAAAAGAAAGGGTCCGATTCTTTGCATGACAACGCCCGCCCACACGTTTCACAAATCACTATCCATAAATTG